CACGGCGATCCCCGACGGCGCCACAAGGCCGCGCGGGCAGAGCGGCACGATTTGGCTGCGCCCCTGCACCGTGCGGTAGACGGCGCCGAGCGGATCCGCGAAGGACGAGTCGCCCTCAGCGCCGGCGTCGGTGAAGAACAGCTCGCCGTTGGGCGCAAAGGCAAGTGCGGTGGGGCCAACAAACGACTTGCCCTCGAAGCTGTTCGCGTAGCGCACCACGGCGTACTCCACGTCGCCGCCACCGTCCCCGTTGGCCCTCGACGGCTCGAGCTTAAGAATGGCATTCTCCGCACGGTCGGTGAGGTACACCTCGCCGTTGCTGGCATCGATGGCAATGTTGTGCGGCGACGCCTCTGTTGCCATGATGGGCACCAGCGTCCCGCTCGTCTTGTCGAGACGGAAAAGCTCCCCGCTGCACGCGCAGATGGCAAACACATCGTCGTGAGGGTCCAGCGCCAGACCTGTTAAGAGGCGGTCCGGCAACTCAGCCACAAGCTCCATTGACGTGCTGCTGCTGCTGCTTTCTACTGGTGTTGTTGTTTGGTGTGTGGCTGCTTCGCCACCTCTATCCCCCGCCTGTCTCACANGCATCGATGGCAATGTTGTGCGGCGACGCCTCTGTTGCCATGATGGGCACCAGCGTCCCGCTCGTCTTGTCGAGACGGAAGAGCTCCCCGCTGCAAGCGCAGATGGCAAACACATCGTCGTGAGGGTCCAGCGCCAGACCTGTCAAGAGGCGGTCCGGCAACTCAGCCACAAGCTCCATTGACGTGCTGCTGCTGCTGCTGCTTTCTACTGGTGTTGTTGTTTGGTGTGTGGCTGCTTCGCCACCTCTATCCCCCGCCTGTCTCACAAGAGAAGCCTCCACAGAGTCCGTAACCGAAAGAGAAAGGGGAGGGAAGTTTCAAAAACAAAACGAGGTGGCGTATGCAGGTGATGCCACAAAACTGTCCTTTGTGAGCCATGTCGCACAGCGGTCTCACCAAAGAGACTTAAACGTAGCGGGTTATCCGCCCAGGTGCCTTGTCTGTCCCTTTCTCTCTCAGCACAGCCTCCAGCCATCCTGCACCACCTCCACATGACTCCCACCATCAGCAGGGGCCTTCATATCCGCACGTTCATTCGTGTCGTCGCTGAGTTCATCCAGAAGCTGCCGCATTTCCTCCACCGTCGCGCTCTGCGGTGGCTCCTCCCCCTCCCTCTCTTCTTCCTCCTCCTCCTCCTCCTCCAAGAGGCGCACGTGGTGCTCCTGTTCGACCCAGTAGTGCTGGAAGAGGAACTGCAGCACAAGCCCGCAGACCCAGCGCAGCTCTGACAGCAGCGGGAGGGCACCATGCGCCACGCGCTGCCGCACCTCTACCGCCTCCTCCGGGAACCCGATCGTGCGTGCGCGCCTGCGGTACGTGTCATCCGCGCCCCGGGCGAAGCTGCCGGTCATGAGATGCACCGCACGAGAGATGGATGCGCCGTAAAGCGCGACGGCAGCCGACGCTGAGAGACGATCCGCCTCGTCCAGTGCAACGGCCTCCATCAACAGCGCCGTGGACTCCACGTAGGCGGGGAGCGGTCGGTGCTTGCGTGCACGTGCTTGCCAGACGAGCTCAATGCGATCAAGCGCCTTGCGTCTCGCACCCGTCGCGTCCGGGCCGTCCTGTGAGTGGAATAGCAGCTGCTTCACACGCCGCCACTCCCCCCAGCCGTGTCCAAACACACTCGCTGGCGTGCCGCAGGTAGACGGGGGAGATGAGAAATCCGCGGAAGAGAACAGGTCCTCCCCTTCATTCAGTGCAACGGTCGCAACTGCCGCCGTCGCCGTCGCCTTGCTGCCAGCATCTTTCGTGGCAGTACACTTCGGCTCATCGGTGGCGGGCTTCTCTTCTGCACGGGCACGAGTTAGCGGTGGAGGCGCTGCGTCCAAATCGCCCAGCTCACCGAGGCCACTCTTAATGCACGTGCCCTTCTTGCGCCGCTCGCGCACTTCTGCCTGCAGTGCCCGGCCGCGTTTGCCCCCCATGCGTGTACGCACAGACTTCAACGGAAAGCCTCTGGCTCCTCCTGTGGCAGGCCGAGAACTACAAGTGCCAAGAAAAAGCAACACACGAAAAAAAGGCGCGAATGGAAACAACACAGGAAACCTCACGAGTGGTCCAAAAGAAACGAGCAACAACACTCCATCTGACGGACTACAGCAAAGCATTAAAGGGCTCGAGCCCAACCACCCGCATCCCGGAAAAGCAGAGGCACGCAGCAACACAGGCGCAGGCAGCATGTCGACCTCTCCTCGTCGCCGCCCAGAGCGCCTCCTGGAGACATGTACACGCATGTGCCGCGCGTCAAGAATACCGTCCTACTCGATGGCTGCATGTGCGCACAGCGGTGAGCAGCCACCCACAAGCCACCGACGCACCACACCAATTATTATTACTTTTGTCGGTTACCATGCAATCATGTACGCTGTGTGATTAACAACGTCATGACACCGCCGCTTCTCCACCGGCAGCAGATTTGATACTTCCAGGTGGTACGCGATTACTTTCAGCGGCAGCAAGTAGGTGTTTACCGGAGCCCACCCGGCATGGCGTCCACGTCAAGAAGATGGGTCTGGCAGTATGCTCAATGTCGGCGCTTCGTATCGAAGAGCCACAGTGAAAAGAGATCATCGCCACCACTCTCTCTGCACTCAAATGCCAGAGTCCTGGGAGCTGATGCAACGAAAGCCGCACACCTACAGGTGGGCCTTGGGCGCATCGAGTCGTTACTCCAACAGCACGCCCACACCGCAAAGGCATATCGTGTTAGTAGATAATAAGCAACTAATATATATATATATATATATATACTCTTCTTTCATTCACACACGGCAAAACATCTGCGTGCTCCATGTTAATTGTGAAGCCTCTTTGCAGGTGGTGCGTCACTCATCCCGACGGCTTCACCGTCACCGTCACTCTCGCCCGCCTCATCGGAGCCGTCGCTCTCCGCGTCGCCGCCCTCCCACTCCGCAGAGTCCATGAAGGTGCTGCTCGGTGCGTCGCACGCCACCATTGCGTCCACGTTCTGTTTCCTGCGGCTCCGAGCGCCATCAGCGCCTGTTGCGCATGTCGCCCCCGCCCCATTCGCCATGTTGCGACCAAAGAATTCGTAACTCCTCGCTTGCGCCTCTCCGACGAAATCGAAGGCATCACTGAACAGGCCGCAGCTCTTCACCTCGGCGGATGCGGGCGCTGGTGTGGAGGAGGAGGAGGGCAATGGCGTCACCTCAACTAGCACCTCGCCGGTCCGTGGCCTCGTGATGACGAAGTGTGCGCCGGCCAGACCTCCGCTGCCAAGATGTGCCATCGCTGAAGAAATCTAGAAGGACAACAAGGGCAAATACAGCCGTGGGATAAGTGACAGCAGTGGCGGCCGCAGGAGGAACAACACAGACAGATGCTTGGGAGGCTGGCCGGGCATGGGAAACAAAATAATAATAATGAGTACACTCCATAAGAACAATGCCTTGTTTGCCTTTCTGCCTCTTTCTTGACGATTTACAAAGCGCCTTCATCAGCCCGCCCTCGGATTCCTTGCAGTGCTACACCAGATGTTCCCTCCCCTCTTTTCGGCGCCTGTTCCCACAGCCCCCAGCGCCTGACAGGAGGCGGCTTACAAAAGAGCTGTTCCTTTCATATATTTTTTTTCACTCTTTCCTCCTTTTTGTGCGTGTGTTATTGCCGTGCTGCGCCAACATCCACATGTCTCGTTATTTACGCGGGCTCCACGTCCCGGGGTGTGTGAACCCTCCTCCACACGTGAAGGGGCGGACCCCGACTGGTCGTCAGCGGCTCAAAACTCCTTAAGCATCCGCTGCATAACCGAACCAAAGAAAGGCGAGAAAATAAACAAAGAATTCTCTATATCGGGTGACCAATCACTGCGCATGCGCAGCGCCTCTGTGCTGTTACATGACCGTGCACCCACCACTGGAGCTCTCACGCCTCTTGTACTTAGCGAGCCAGTACATCTGCGTCTGGTTGATGGCGCCACGCCGCTTCTCACGGACCATTGAAATCGCGTCGAGTGGCTGCATACCGCCGTACTCAACGAGCGCCACAGCCACAAGAATAGGCGCGCGACCAAGGCCAGCCACACAGTGGATCGCAATCGTGGCGGGCTGATCAGAAACACCAGAGTCCAGCTGCGCCATTTCCGCATCTAAGAGCCGGAACCAGCTCTCCAGTACCGACTTCGGCGGAGCCGCGCCGTCATCGAACGGCCAGCCATGCACCTCAATGCCGCCCCTCTCAACGAGCGTCGCGTCGTAGGTAGGACCACACACACGCACAAGATGCCGCACATGCCGCCGCTGCAGCGTCTTGATGTACGTGGGCAGATTGCTCGGAGACGGGGCATCGAGGATGAGGAGGTTGAACAAGGTGCGCGACGGGTTTCTGCCGTCCTGGCACTCAATGAGCGTGCAGTTCACATCCATTGTTACACCTTGTGGCTTTTTTCACACGGCGGAGTTGCTCGCTGCAAAGGGCAGCCTGCTAATGAGTACAGGATTACAGCTTGAATAGTGTTGCCTAGATTTGGGTGACCTCTTTCGTTCTTAATAGCCTGTCGTGAGCGGGTAACTAGCCACAGCTCGCCAACAAATGCTGGTGAAATGTTATTTTTTTTTTTTTTCGTGTGTCTTAATTCTCTCTACGAGAAGTAATTTTAGTCCTCAGAGACAAGAAGCAAAACCGACAGAAAGATCATTGCCAAGAAAAAGGAAATGTGTCGCTGGGCGGGTCAGGGATGCATCCTTGTCTGTGAGGGTGGGTGGGTATGTGGGTATGTGTGTGTGTGTGTGTTGCATTGTGGCACAAACGTACCGCGTATTAAGTGCGCTTTACTTCCGCGAGGCGAAAAAAAAAACACAGAATGCGTTGGTCTTAGTCCTTCTCGCGGGGCCGCTTGAAGCGTCTCCAGAGCGAACCTATGCGGTGCCACCAGCCACCCGTGGCGGTCTCGTCCCCCTCTGCAGCACCGGCAGTGCCCGCCTCGTTGACGCCAGCATCCTCAGCAGCGTCCCTGGCGGTGCGGCTGTTGTTATTGCCGACGTCCTCGTCGCGCTGGTCCCCATCACCGTGCAGCTCCTTCACCAGAAATGCACCACAGCTCGTGGGCGCTGCCATAGCATACCCCTTGCGGCGGTAGTAGTTGCGCACCCCAACGCCGCTGATGACAGCGATCTTGCTGTACCCCTCCGCCCTCGCAATGCGCTCCGCCCGCTCCAGCAGCAGCGTGCCCACGCCGCGGTGTTGCGCCTTCGCCGCATCCGCCTCCACGTGCGTCGGCACGAGCCGGCCGTACACGTGTAGCTCACGGATCAGCGCACACGAGCGGAGCTCATCAAAGGGCGTGTCCCACTCGCGTATGTGAAGACGCAAGCGCAGGAACCCGAAAAGCGTCGTGCCGTCGGCCGTCTCGTACGACACGAATACTTCCTCGCCCTCGCTGGCGGCGTAGCGACGTTCCACCAGCGTCGCCCCGTCAAGCTTCGACGCAGCAGCCGCGTCGCCCTTCACTTCGCGGCAGCGAATGCACTGACAACGCGAGCCTTCCCGTGCGAGGCGCAGCGCCAATAGCTGGCGCAGGTTTGACACCTCCACGCCACCGAGAATGTAGTCGTGCGGGATGTCACGTATGACGCGATTCAGGCGCACCCATGGATGCACCTGCCGCTTGGCGTACATAATGACATCAATCAAGTTGTCCAGGCCGTACGGCTGGTATGTGCCGTCCTTGAACCACTGCTCAATCACCGTGAATGGTGTCGTCTGGCAGGGGTAGATCTTCCACTGATCTGCCTGCAGCTCTGGGGCATTGAGGACGTCGTCAAACATTTTTTTATCATTCTCTGGAGTGGATCCTGGCAAGTCTGGCATAAGGTGAATGTCAACCTTGAAGCAGCTGTCTTTCAGGAGCTTGATGGCACGCGCAGCGTCTTCCCGTGTGGACTGACGGTTCACGGCTAACAACACCGCATCATCGGTGTGCTGCACGCCAAGCTGCACACGTGTGCAGCCGAACCGTCGGAGCTGCTTTAGCATGTCCTCGTTCACCGTATCAGGGCGCGTCTCCAAGGTGACACCAATAATTTTACACCTAGCGGTTTCGTTCAACAACTGCTCCTGCAGCAAGTCAAGTGGAGGTCGTGGTCGTCTCAGCTGCTGCGCATCGGCGTCGCCGGCCAGCGCAGCGTCCTCAGTGCCGTCATACAGTGTGTTGGCGGCGTAGAAGAGGTCACGCATGAAAGACTCACGGTATGACAGCGGGTAGCTTTCCCACGTACCACCCAGCACAAGCAACTCCACCTTGTCCGCGGGGTGGCCAATCGCCACCAGCGAGTTGACGCGGTCCTGAAACTGGCGGTAGGCGTCGAACTGCAGCCGGTTCGCCCGCCGCACTCCAGGCTCGTTCAGCAAATAGCTCCGCGGCTGCCCCGGTTCATTGGGGCAGTAGTAGCAGTTCCACTTGCAGCTGAACTTCTGCCCCTCCGGGTACGGGGATGTGAAGACGGTCACAACAAGCACACCGGACTGACTACGCGGCGCCTTGGAGACGAAGTACTGCTCCAGCACCGGGCTGATGGTCCGCATCTCCTCCGCCAGCAGCCACTTCCGGTACGCCGCGAGGAGCAGCGACTTTTTCGCCACCGCACGGTGCTTCTTCATGAGCTTGCGCAGCAGCTGCTCAATCTGCTGCACCGACGACGGCTGTGCGTCTGTAATTGCCTCGATGAAGGTGGTCGCGGTGGCCATTTGCTCCTCTGTGTACTCATTAGGATCCTTCTCCGCCAGCAGCCGCTCCAGCGTGGGCAGGTTGCGCAGCTTCGCTTTTACCTTCTCCATGTCGGGCCTGAGTCGGCCAGTGACTGTCTCCCCCTCGTCGGAGTCACCACTCGAGGACGACATTCCACCAGCGTCACCAAGAACTCGAAGCCTTTATTGCTGTTCGTGTTCCCCCACCCACAAGAAAGGTGGGGAATAACGCGCATGGTGAAGGTGTGAAACAAAGAGAATGACCACGCATACGTGTCCTCTGTGTGTGCAGAGATGCATAAACAAACTGCCGGCTGCACGCAGCCCCATATATGTATGTATTGCAGCCAGGTGATCTCACCGAAGGGAGGGAAAAAAGCATTCATGACACCACGTTCACGGAGAAAGGGATGGAAACATGCGACTGTAAGGAGGCTCCACGTATCACACACACGCACACACACACACACACAGACGCTTCAATCACTCTTATTCTTTTTTATTGCTGCGCCCACCACCACAACCACTACTACTACCGCCGCCAACACGAACACTTCGTACTGCGCGTACGTATGGGGCGCGGCAGTATTCTTTGAAGCAAAAACAAACAAAAAATGCCATGCACCATGGAAAATACGGCTGTCATCCCACCGCTCTCCCGTGACCCACGGTCGCTTCGCCAAGTGAGAATCCCAAACGCGATACGTTCGCCAATATTGAACGGAATACAACTGCAAACCACAAAAAACAAGCATCACCATATAAGCATGTGTGCCCAGCCCGCATTAGCACATACTTCGCGCATGCCAGAGACACCTCCTGGCTCTTGTTGTGCCGCGGCTTGTAGCGCATCAGCCAGCTTGAGATACACTTGATTTATCACACCCTTACGCCGCTCCCGCGCATAGCCAACCGCCCCCAGCGGCGGCACCCCGCCGTACTCGAGAAGGGCCCGTGCCAGCACAATGAGCTCCCCGTCAAGACCCGCTACACAGTGCACAGCAATGGTCTCTGGAGGCATTTTATTCCCTTCCTGCTCCAACAGCTCAATCCAGTTGTCAATGACGGCTCGCGTGGGCGGGGCGCCGTCGTCGAAGGTCCAGGCGTGCACCTGAATGTCGTGCCTCGCGAAGGCCTCCAAGTTGTACGTAGGGCCGCACGTGGTGCTTCTGCAGCAGCGTCACGTGCGTGGCGGCACTGCTCGGTGACGGGGCGTCGGGAATGAGGAAGCGGGACGCGACAGTGTCAGAGCCCCCCAGCGCTTGCACTCCATCAAGGTGCCGTTAGCCTCCATCGCTAGCGGAGCAAAACTAAACATAAGAGTGCGGGCCAAAAGAGAAAACCAAACAGTGACTCCATCGCTCAAACCTCCCAAATGGATACAAGGGCAAGCGCATCATTCCTCGAAGTACATCACCATCCTTCCACCACAGGTGCCAATACGCATGGCAGCGTATAGGTACCCCTTGGAAGGCGAAACGACACAACGTCGCCGCACCTTTTCCCGTAGAATCCACCTGCAGAGAAGCCACCCAAGCCTAGCACCGCTAGACATTCACAAATCCAATGGTAATGTCAAAACTGCATGACGGAGAGTATACCACAGACGAAACTTTGCTCCACGCATTGCCCCTCGACAAAGAAAAAAGGCCCTGTCATCGACGACACAGCCGTGAATGCCACACAAGTACTGTGTCCATGTCCCACTGCAAGATGGACGAAACACAGCTAGAGTCAATCCCTTGTGGTCCTCATCCGCACCACAACAACTTCCCAAGTTCCCCGCACTCCAAGAAACAAATGTAGTTCTTGATCCTTTTTTTTTTGCTTCGAAAGGGGGTGTGGAAGCGCACACACACACACCTGGGTCACAGCAACGCCAGAGGATAGCGCAGCATGTCAGGGGGGCCGAGACGCAAGCGTCGTCAAGAGTGCTCGCACCACATTACAAGAGTTCACTGGGAGCTGCAGCCTGGGGATCGGCAAGGTTGGGGCAAACGCTTACAATAGCCATACAAGACGCCATGCCCCCCGAATCACGCTTCCACAGGCCCCCTGCCGCTGCTAGTGTAGCAGAAGCACTGTTACCACTCTGCTCCCCTCCACCAGCCCCTTGTCACTAAGACGCAGCAGCTCCTCTTCGACAGGCCGTCCCGGCACTCTCAAAGCCACGTCGTCGTGGAAGAAGACCCAGCGATTGTCCCAGCTGCTGTCGAGCCAGTATTCACGTCCCACAATGGACGGCCACGGCGCGGCCACAACGCGAACACGCTTGCCGTCGTGTCGACTCGCCAGCTCAGGTGATGGGAAACGGCCGATCATCGGTGTGGCCGGTGTAGCTTCTGATATCGGCTGACAGTACAAGTGCGTCAGATACGCTTCATTCACCGAACGCACATCCGCCGCAGTGTGCACCCCTTTAACCAGTAATACCACAACCACCACCACCACCAGCAGCAGGAGCTTCTGCGGGTGCCACCGAGCCATGAGCTACTAATTTCTGCGCACTGCCGTGTGAGGTACTAGTAGGGACGGGAACAAGGGAGAAATACAGAATGCATACAGCAACTCTCAGAAGAAAGAACGAGAATGGGCTCAAGTCTGAATGGCAGTACGGTGTGATGCGCCACACCAGCAATATAATAACAAAAGGAGTAAGACAGTTCAAAAAAATACGAGATAATATATATATATATATATTGTATAATTTTTTTATCCCTTAAGCACAGGGCACTTTGCTTTCAAAAGGAGAAGACGGAGAAATCAGTGCTCCTTGTACCAGACTAATGCTTGATTGCCCGCTTATTACATCGTTACACATCATTTTTCGCCTCCATATTTCTGGAGGAAATTTAGAACACGGGCCTCATACTCCTCTGCGTGTGTGTTGTGCAGCCCGCAGTGAAACGCACCCTCAGAGAGGTACAGCTCCTTCGGCTCAGATGCGGCCTCGTAGAGCTGCACAGAGTGGCGGCACGACACCAAATCGTCGGCGGTGCCGTGCATGAGCAGAACAGGCCGCGGGGAAACCTTGGCGATGCAGTGCAGCGCCTGGCAGTGCTTGCTCGGCTTGTTGCCGATGCGGAAGTTCAGCCAAAAAGACGACGTCCGGCGGAAAAGTTTGAAAAAGAACATGCTGTACGCCCGCCGCGAGAAGTATCCACCAATCATCTCAACAATCTTCTGGTCCTGCAGCGTCGCACACGTGAGCATCGCATTCTCCGCGATAATGACGTCTATGGTCTTGTCGATGGCAGCCGCCATGATTACAGAGGAGCCGCCGATGCTTGTCCCCATCGCACATATTCGCTCGTACTTATACGCGGACCTCATGAACTGGCAGGCCGCCACCACGTCGAAGCGCTCCTTCATGCCGTACGTGAAGCCCCGCATGTTGCCATCGCTGATGCCGTGTTCGCGGAAGTCGAACAGCAGACAGCCGTAGCCTGCCCTGTGCAGAAACGGCACGTGGCGCAGCCACGTACGCCTGTCCCTGCCGCCGCCGTGCACGAGCACAACGCCCATCTTCCGCGCGCCCACGGCCGGCGGCGGCACGTACCAGCCGCGCAGTGTGTACCGGTCAGTGCTCTTGAAGGAGACGTCGTCGTACGGGAGGCCGAGGTCCGTCAGCGGGTCGTGGATGCAGCCGTTCCAGTAGTCGGGGCAGTTGCGCATCGTCAGCCGCGACGCATTGGGGCGGTGGTGGTACCACGGCGGCCGGATGGTGATCTCCGACACAAAGTAGCCAAACGCCGCAAAGTAGAACGCCAGCGTCACAGCGATGAACTGCACCGCAAAGACGAACCCGTTGATGAATATGAGAATGATAAGCGGCAGCACAACACATACGGTGGCCTTGCGCAGCACGCGCGGATTAACCAACTCAGTGCCCTCCACATCGTTGTCCTCGAACAGCTTATCCTCCTCTTCCTTCTCCTCTTTATCAATTTTGCTCTTTGCGCTGTGTTCCAGTGCCTTTGCCTCCTTCAACGACAGCAGCACCGCCAAATGGCTCTGCAGCTCCGGCGGGGCCCGCTGCACCGCCGTCCTGTTGCTCTTGTCAACAATGCTGGCGTCAACAGAGTTGAAATTGCAGAGCAGCGCCTTTGCGAAATCCATGCGGCCGTGCTCGGCGGCAATGTGGAGGGCCGTTCGCCCCTGATCGTCTACCGCATTGACGTCCACAACGCCTCTCTTCTTTGCTTTTAGAAGCGTCTGAATGTCGCCAACCTCCGCGGCTACGTGCAGCTCCGTCATCTGTGGCAATACGCACAACTACCCGCGCAAAGGGACCGGCACACCAACAACAAAACAAAAAGAAGAAGAAACAAGAAACAAAAAGGGAGAAATAACGGAACGTGACGGCCGTGCAGCAAGCAAGAGGGCCCCGCACAGAGAGGTAACCAGGCTTTTATTCTCGACCTTTCTTCTCGCTACCCGCCCTCTGGGTGAGAGAATCCAAAGAAAAAAAAAACAACAACAACAGAACAGACGAGAGAACGAGACATGAACGCGTGAAACACATCCAAACTCCGGAGCCTCACTCCCTGCAGAGCCTCTTTCTTAGTGTGCAGTGCGTGGTGTGAATACTTTTTCGTGTTTCTTGGCTTCGCCTCAGAGCAGCGCGGCCTTGAGGTACGCCGGGCCGGCACCCACGTGCGTCATCGCCTCCGCCACGGCCTGCTGCGCCGCCGCACCAAACCGCTGCTCGTCGTGCCGCACCATTTTCCCTAGCGTGGTGGCCAGCCACTCATGTTGGCGCTGCACGTGCTGCGGTGGCAGGTACAGTGGCGGCCGCGCCGCACCGCCACGCCTACTGAGCCCGATCAGCTCGGCGTCACGCTCAGAAGTAATACGGCGTCGCTGCGGCTCAACAGCGAGGAGGTCCAACACCAACCGAATGGGTGCATTCAAATGCTCCATGCCGAGGAGTGTCTGCAGCTGCGCCGCTCGCATTACGAGCGCCCGCAGCTCCGTCACCGAAGGCGGTACTGTAACTTCCTCCACGCGTCGGCCATGCGCATCAGGGGCCGTGCCTTCGTCGTAGTCAGCCTCGTTATCTCCCGCATTTATCAATCCACTAGAGTCGCCACTGTGTCTATTCAAGAAGGCCGCCACTCGAATCGTGTCGCCAATGTGCGCAAGCGCAAGGAGCTCTGCTGCAAGCGCCACTTCTGCGCCCTCCTTGGTGAGCTCCGTCCCGCATTGCTGAAAGATAGCCCGCACGAACCGCACAGCGCATTCCCAGTGCTGCTGTTCCATCATACCAAGGAGAGGAACCGCAACCGCCACCTCGTTATACGCGGAGCGACCAGAAAATGCACCCTTTACGTCCTTTAGGCCTCGGAAGAGATCTGTGGCCCCCTCACACTTCCCGGCGCAGCCATAGGCACGCAGACAATACAGATGATTCATGAAGCCGGCCTGGCGTGGGCCTACGTCCTCAATCCGCTGCATCACACGCAGCACCACGTCCCATGAACAATGCTTTATCGCCACTACGTGCAGGTCTCGCAGAATCAGCGGAGGTGGCGAAATGTGATTCTGATCGTACAGCTGCAGCACCTCAAATGTGCGCTCCCACGATGCGGCGTGGAGGTTAAGCAGCATTTTTTCCACAGACGGCTCGTCGGGAAAGACATCGTGCTGTGTCATGATGGACTGTGCCACGTGGAGGGCCACCTGCCATGTGCGGTTGATAGAGATGCTCTGCATGCCGCTCAGGACGGTGCGGAGATGATCGGCCGTGACGTCAAAATTGTGCCGCTCAGCGCACACCTGCAGCAGCCGCAACGCCGACACCCACCGCTCACTCGGGGCGGCATTCAGCATCGTGATAAGCGTCTCCCGCTCCAGCGCTGTAGACTGGCCTGACGCTGCTGGCGGCGGCGGCAGCGGTAGCTCACTCCACGGGCATTGCTGGTTATTACCGAGGCATAGAAAAACACACTGCGCCAGCGCACTCGGGATTGTCACACCACAGTCACACAGCGCCACACCGACCTCAGCAAAGAGTGGCAGTCCGACAAACCGGACCTGCGCCTCGTGGTGGCGCGTTAGTGGCGCGCAAAGACACTCAACAACAGACCGCATTGCTTGACAGTGCGTGTCATTCATGAGAGTTGCACCGCCACTCTTCACGCCTCGCTGTGTTCCCGACTTGGCGCCAAGCGCTGCCGCCTCCGTCCGCAGCGCGCGCAGCACGGCCTGCAGCAGGTCCGTCTTCACGACTTTGGTTGTCTGCATCATGTGCGGACGCAGTGCGAAACACAGCGAGGCAACGGTCTCCCACGCAACCCCCTGCTCGTGCGGCGAGGCAGGCGACCGTAGCGGCGAAGCGGTGCAGCCACCCTGCAACAGCCACAAGACGTAGCGCGTTAGAGTGTCGACGCTTGTTTTTCGAAGGAACTGCAGCGCCGCCGTCGGTTCCCGCAGTGTGATCGCAAAGAACTCCGGGCACTCACGCAGCGCCTTTTCCCACTGGTTTCCGGTGGAGTTGAAGATGAGTCCTCGCAGCGCCTCCTCCGCGTTAAAGAGCACCTCACCACCCGATCCAGACGCACTGCTAGCGTTGTCCACGTGCGCCCCTGCGCCTCTCCGCTCTGGAATCAAGCCCTTGGACCGCCAGTTCATCACGCACTGCATCAGCCGCTTGTACTGGCGCCGTCGACGCAGCTCCAGAAAGAGTTGCCGCTGAGCCGCTATGCTGCTGTCTGACTGCCGCGCCTCCTCCTGCGCAGAGGATTGCAGCACAGCCCTTCGCCGTTGTGGCTGCAGCTCAAACCCCATCCGCACCAGCTCCTCGTTCGACAGTGTGCATAGATCTGTGCCTCGTGCCCAGTCCTCGGGAGGGGCAGAACAAGAAGCAGCAGCAGCAGCAGCAGCAGCAGCACAAGAAGAAGAAGCATACATTGTGGTGGTGGGAGTTGGAAGTGGCGTGGGTGCCTGCGTCAGCCCGAGCGTCGCAATCAACGATAACCGCTGCCCTTGTGGAAGGGCGTCCGCCACGGCAAGCGCCCGCTGCCACTCGCCGCTCTTCACCAGCAGCTCACACACGTCGCGCAGCAGCTGTGACGACGTGGTACCCCCGGCGCTGCCCAGCAGCGTCTGCACCTCCCGCCGGATGGCGGCCGTCGAGAGCACGGCGAACCGCTCGTATACACCAACGATGCGCGAGTA